CAGGCTCTCTAGTCCCTGAGCAATATGTCATTTCAGCTGTAGGGAGATGTTCCAGAAACTCATGTTGGGGATGAGCTGGTTAAGAAACTGAGGCTGAAAAAACATAATAGCCTTAACCCTATGGTGTAGTATTTCAAAATGATTTTGTTGTACACTGTGAACTTGTGCTGACACACACTGCTGACTTAGGTAAGGAGCACAGCTTTGCCCAACTGATGATTGACCTGAGCAGAAGGCATTTCAGTTGAAGTTTAACTTCTGTACACAAGTCATGTCACACCGTTGGAAAACCAGGGATGTTGTAAGTGTGGGAAAGCCCCATGCCATTGGCTCATGAGAGAGTCAGTCTGCAGTCCACAGCCTAGAAACAACAATATTATCTAGCCTGCAGCAAATGGCAGTCAGCTATTGCTCAAGTGTTCTCAAGGCTGCAGAGCCAAAGACTGAAGTTACACAATCAAGATAACTTCTCTACCCTACCACACTGGGCAAATGCTTGCAAGTTTTCATCTGGATGGAAAAAAAAAAAAAAAAAAAAAAAAAATTTTCTTCGCTACACCCTTGCAGTTTCACTCTGCACTGAACAAGAGGAACTAAACTAGGAAATGCCAATTGCCATTTTCATTGGCATGAGACTCAGGACTTCAGTCATTCTGTTGGCAACATCTAACAACACCAGGAGAATGAAGGTGGATTAAAATAACAATCATTTACAACTTCATTGGCCATACACAGAGAGGCCTACAAGACTATCTACCCTATTTTCCTACAAATAAAGCACTGTTTTTGCAGTATATTTTCCAGTATATCAATCTAGTCTGCTTTTAAAAGTTCCAAATACAGAAACGTTTGCCAGCTGTAAGGAAAATTTACCACATCCTTTCAGTGGTACTTGGATTTTCAGCCAGTGACAATCACATGTACAGAACTAAGCCAAAAAGTTTTATGCAACGTATGTTTCATCCAGTACAAATTATTTCTACATCTAATGCCATAAAAGCTATTTGAAAAGTGTAAGTTAAAAGAGAATGCATATTCAAGGAAAATTACTTCCATGCACCAACATCTTTCTAAGAATCTCCAAGTCAGTTTTCATTGACTTCAGTGCCTATTTCTTGATTTCCATTCTAAGGCAGCTGTGAGTCTTTTTTCAGATATTGGAAAATCTTCAGTCGGACTGACCACTTGCATTACTGAAGACTATACAGAAAATACACAGCTAAGCTAAGAATGGGGCTAAATCTGCAAGATACCTTAATCTACCAATCAGACTGCAGATTGTCCAACTCAAAGGTCAGAAAGTTTTAAGGAGAAATGACAATTCTTTTCTTCATGATTTCTCAAGTATAGAGCCAAAACTTCACTGTTTTTTTTTTTTTTTTTTGAAAATAAATGGAACACCATACAGAAAAACTCAAGATTGTTATTTTATTAAATCACATCTGAAGGAAGCAGTGAACAGCTCTAAGAAATGTCAGCGGAAGATCAAGTGAATCGTTGTTGATTTAAGTAAAAATTGCTCTTCAAAAACATTAACATGGTATTCTTTTCATATTTGGAAATGCTTCCCAAAACAAGGAGTTTTTGACACAATTCCCATTTTCTTCTATGTGGAAGCTTCTTGAAGAGGGAAAAGAGGAAGGTCTGGAAATGCCCCAAGAAGTGAAAAATCTTGTGTTCAAGAAACATTTAGACGTTGCACTGAGGGACGTGTTTTACTGGGGAAATATTGGTGGTAGGTGGATGGTTTGACTGGATGATCTTGGAAGTTTTTTCCAATCTTGCTGATTCTGTGATCTGTCTCTTTGTTGTCGCCAGCTTAGAAGAATATTAGAAAGGTAGCCTTTGATTTTAGAAGTCTCATCAATGAAAACTTTTGGCATGATTCTGCTGCTAGGTAGAATAAAGTTTGTTATAAAGACTTTACCACTTAAAAAGGACTGTGTCTTTTAAGTCTTAGTTTTGCCTTTAAGTTATCAATATTCTTTTTGTTGATGTTTAAACACCATTTTGCCTTGAATTTTACTTCTTTCTTCAAATCTTTGCTGATTCCAACCCAGCTAGAATGACCTTCTTTCCCATCTTGTAACTAGGGATGCAGTGGAAGTCAGAGCCTGCCTTCAAAGACAGAACTTGATTTCAAAGGTCTCAGTCATTGCTACAAGTGTTTTACCAGATCTAGCTGAAGTCAGAACACCTCAGTGGATATAAATATCATCACACATCTGCAGACACTGGGCAGAACCAACAACTCTTTCTGGATAGCAGCCACTGGGAGATTCAAAGACTGCAAATTTTTGCAAAGGGAAACAATTTAGCACCAATAACAAATGTACTGTACCTGAAGAATGGTGTCATGGAAATCTCAGCACACAGGATCAGGATTTTAAAAATTACATGCTGCACTGCTAACTAGCTTTCCAAACAACCCTTTAAGAGTAATCCTATACTCAGATATTAAATGTATAAAGTTATAATACATTTTCTCTTCACATAGCTAATTCTTCCCTTCTTGAACATGGCTGCATCTTACAATTTCTACCAGAAAACCAAATAGGTAAATGACATGACAAGGCTCCAATGCCATTTTTCCTTGTTGATTCCAGTCTAACATACCCAGGTGAGCTTTATTAAAATAATACACACCTACACATTCTACACAGTCACGTCTCTGATATCAAGCCAGTAATAAATCACTTTTTTTCACTGCTAAATTAATGATTTATTCATGAAAAAACTACAGCCTTGTTTTATTGTTTTCTTGAAGTCATACAAGCCCTCCTGAAATCTATAAAACTTATATCTGTAACTAAGCCAACGCATGAAATACATCCCTCACAGGGTTTGAAAACAAAACAAAAAAAGTGCAATTGATCTTGTCAGTTGATAAAGACTATTGTTTCTAATTAAGTTCCTATCCATGTTGTGCCCATACGTATTAGTTAAACTTTAACTCACCTATTCGTCCTATCTTCTATCAGCATCCTTCCAGCTGAAGAGGTTCACCCTCCACTTGCTTTCACAAAACAACATGAATGAGCATGTCAAGCAATTTATAGTCACAGAACTAACAGAAGCATCTCTCAGGCCTTGTACTCTCATACAGGGCAGTCAGTATAGGACAAACAAGCACAACAAATCCATTTACTGGCTAAACATACTCAACCACTGATCCTCCTTGACAAAGACACCAGTGGACCAATCTCACAATTCTGATGAAAGCTGAGTATTTCCATTATACACCAATGAGACTGATCATGAGTACCCACAGTTGGTTTTAACACCTGAATTAGGTACCATTGGCAGAATCCAAAATAAGCTAAAAATTAAGAGGTAAGGAAGAACTAATACATCTTACGTGAACGATCATTTAGTAGTGTGGGTTTGTAGCAGGGCTGAAACTGGCCCTCCAAATAAAACTGGACTTTGAATTACTGCTTTAGATAGATGCTGAAGTAGAAAACAACAAACAACCTGAATAAAACAACAACAAGCAAAAAAAAACCAAACAACAAAATAAAGAACAAAAAAAGCCACTCAACAAATAACTGATAAATATTGTTCTAACATTCCCCTCTGTAAAACAAACACCTGCTTTCAGTCTTGTTCATATTTTTATTCACACAACGCATACACAATCGGTATTTTTTGCCACGGTCTTAGTCTGAGTGACTAAGAGCACTGGAATCAAGCCAAATAGTAAACCCTCAAATAACAGCATTTTCTGTTCCCTGTGTAAGGCAAAGGGACCTGCCTAGCTATCTTAGTTACAAATTGCAGAACAGTTACTTGCAAATATTACCTCCCCCTATGACAAAACTCTACCACGTTAAGTCAAGCAAGGCTGAACACATGGACTGCATTAAAGAGATGTGCCATTTGAAAGCAAAAAGACGAAATTTCACCTGTTCCAGTCCCCTGCTCTCAGCACTCTCTTATTTAACAGTCTATGCCCACCACAATGTTGTTAAAACGTTAATTACAGTGATTATTTTCCAAAAAGTGCAAGAAAAAGCCAGTTCTTCTATTTATACACAGATCTATCTTTACCATCTCCAACATGTTTGATTTGGTTACACAAGGGGCAGTGAAAACATCTTATACCTCACACAACCATACTTTGTGCAGACTCTGTCCAGAAACACCCACTCTACACTGCAAATACCTTGAAGCCATTGGACTGTGTCAGAGGACATTAGCTGCTTCTGCCCCAGCATTTAGCACAGCTGCTTTGCCGCCTGGCACAGTTTTCTTGCAGGCCTTTCTAAATCAAAAAAGCATGCTTATGCAAAGATACCCTCTATCCTGATGTCTTTTATTTCTCTTTCACAGCTCCTTACTGTCCCTTCTATTCAGGGACACAAGGGCAACAAATGGCTAAAGTTCCTGTGGAAATTTCTTCTTCAGTTTTAGGCAAAGGAATGTCTTATACTTGAACATGCATTAGGAGTACCTCCCAGACATCATCTAATATAAACAATTTATTAATTGTCTCCAAATGACGTTGGAAAACACATTTCAGTACATGACATACAAAAGAGAATAAATTGCATAAAACAGTTGTTAATAAAAGCATTTAATGCCTTACTGATATTAACATAATTTCATCTTCAGATATGACAAGTGTCAAAGTAGCATTAGAATGTACGCAAAGCAGAAGAATATAAGGCACCGTTCCCCATGACTGAGAAGTTTATGAATGCAACTCCAATGGCAACTGCTGCTTTATTTGATCCTGCACATTTTCTAAATTGAATGCTTCTTGTTTATTCTTCCAAACTACAAGAATAGTATAACTACAGTTTTATTGCCATAGTTAACAAAGCACTTAGCTACTCAATTAATGTATTCCTGTTTTAATTACAACATGTTCTTCACTAGAGCTTTTCACCGCAGTCTAGGCTGTACCTTTGCAGTTCTTGATATGTTTTGAATTGGTCACAAAGAGGGCAAATATACAAAGTGAGGACAGGAGAGGACAACGTCATTCCAAAAAACTGCAAGCTCAGGAAATCTGTCTAAAGAAAACAATGCCATTTAGGTTAACTGCTCTTCTCTTTCAGAGACACAATCAAAACTTCAGACACCATCTCACAAACTTGTAGGAGAAAACAAAAAGCTGGAAGCTACTAAGAAAGTACCAACAAATTTCTAAAATTTTTTTCTTTATTGTCAGAAGTGAAAACTAAACTGATAAAAACCAAAGGATATTCACCTTGTGTGTTCAAAAGAGCCTAGACAGAACTATGAGTATGAGATGAGAGACAGCTCTCCCATCTGTTTTTAAAAGACAGCAAGTTCTCATTCATGCCTAAGTGGGTGATAGTAAGGGAAGGCTTTGATAGCTTTCTCACAGTAAGCTTTGTAATTGTGCAAGTTATGGTTTTAATTGTAAGTGCAAGAATACAATAATCAAGAAAGAATTTCTTTGTTTCCAGCATCTCTCGTCCCTCTGAAGTACTAGTTTCGGCTACTGCCAGAAACTGCTTGCTGGTTTGCTTACATGAATTTGAGTTCACAGTAATGGGTAAGTATGAAAAGCATCACTTTCAGACATTAGTTGAAGGATCACTTCAATAGCTTTCTTCAGTTCAAATATATAATCTGGGGGCAGAGAGGCTCAAATAAATGTAACTTACTCTTGTCAACGTAACGTTTTTTGCAACTCCTTGAAATGGAGTTTTTTGTCTGCACCTATGGCTGTGAAAACTTCAGGATTAAAACCAAGCCAAGCACTGCCTACGTGCCATAAGAGAAGAGCAACATGGCCACCAGATCAAGATTAGAAAGATTACGCACATGAAAGCAGTTAGAGTGGTTAATCTGCTACTACACCTACAGTAACTGGGCGTAGCTGCACCCTTTCTAACAATGTCAAGGCTGTATTCGTTTAGCCATCCGAGACACGTGAAAAGACAAACAGTTTCTGGCACTGCAATCCACTGCGGTCTATTTAGAGCACGTGGCTATCTTAGCAGTGATTCAGAGCAGGAGAAGGTTGAGGTCGCTCCTCAGCCAGACGTGATGACTTAGGACGAAAATATTTTAACTCTCTGTGGGTTGGGTGAGTTTTGGTTTTGAGTTGTGCCTCTCGCAAGCAGAAAGCATTTAGTATAGAAGAGAATACATTATTTCTAACTTCAGCTGACCTTCGTCTTCCACAGACAATTACTCAAAACACACATCACAGTGGACCTGCAATAGTAATAATGGCAATCCTCTGAAAAAAACTGAGCATCTGGTGGCTTAAGGCATTTTATATACTACAATTAAAGGAGATTATAAGCTATCTACTTATCCACTGGCCTCTGAAGAAATTGTTCTGAATAAAAGCAATTTCAGTTCCTATATTCATTCACCAAGAGTACATAGACGGCCACAAAGGAAGCTCCCACATGCAGCACCCCATGTGCTCACCTGGGCACAGATGAGGCCACTGTGGGAGTAGAAAGTGATGGAAGAGAGGTACAGTTCATAATCTTCTCCAGACGTCTATTAATACCAAAGCAATATTTCTTCACTGAGAAGAAATGTGCATTCTGTGCATAAACTGAGCACTGCACAGTAAAATATGTAAGTATTAAGCACAGTTCTATGGTGACATACAGCAGCTCACTCAAGATATTAGTAATTATTACAAGGAAGGCACTAGAAAACAGTCATACTGACAGGTTGGGTGCAGATCACACAGCCCCGATGCACAGTTTTCCTACTACTAATACTATTAATTTTTACTACACTGTATTGGTGGATATGGATGAAGCTTTTCTCAATATTTCATTTCTCCTCTACTCGTGTTATGAGCACTGTTCAACAGCTGCCTTTGGTATATTACCACCTCGAGAGAAGAGGGGGAAAAAAAATAAAATGCTCTTATAGCATACTTTGGTTTCCTTACGATGTAATGGCCTACATACAGGAAAATCAGTAATAATTTTCAGAGCAGTATGTTAAGTCTATTTTTATCATTTTAAACAAACGTAAATCCATAGAAATAGTTGCATAACAAAGCTGAAGCACAGTGTATTTACAGTTCCAAACACTACAGGGAAGTTTTGGGCAAAAATTAGGAGTGTCCTAGCCACGAAACTCCAAGAAGCAATAGGCAAGATGCACTGAGATGTCAGCATAAGGCAAAGAACACCCATGAGTGTGGAAAACGTTACTTATACTGAGCATAGCACATGGACACAGAATAATTGCAATACTTTAGGAAATACTGAAGAACAATTACAACATCTCACAGAAATGTTTCAGATACGAAAGAAGAGTTCTAACGAAGAATCTTTCCCCCGTGTAACAACTGAAGTGCTTGAAGTTCTCCCTTTGTGTTATTGGCTGCCTTTTCACTTCTGAACTGTGAAATTCACTACTCATTTTTACTATATCCAGCATATGAATTTTGAAGTAATGAAAGTGTCCGTACTGAAAGATGGTGTAAAAGATTACAGCCTGAGCTGCACAATGCAGGTTAGGAGATACTTCGTGCTTTCTCTTCATCATGTATAAACATTCTTAAGCATGCAACTTATGCTGGACTGGGTTTACTACATTCTAACTGCCAGGAAAACCTTATTTTATACATTGTACACAGGAAATGGCAGATTTGCAGTCAGATATACCATTTTTTTTACATGTATGCTTTTAAAATTTGAGAGTTAATGCTTCTTCCAGCTATTTAAGTCCTTCTCATCTACCAAGCACAGCAGCCAGTTCAGGCAGGGCTCCCACAGCTGTTTCCCTCCCCATGTGGCAGTGACAACCTGAGCAGCTTGCATCAATTGTATTTCCAACTTTATCCAACTAACCCCAGCTTTCCACCTTTTTGATCAGTTCCTTCTAGTTGCCTTCCGTTTCTGACCCAGCCCACTGGTGGCCTCAGGAAGTCCTGTGCCAGCCCTGCAGTCCGGAGGAGGGGAGAAGTACAGGCCAGAAGTGACATTTCAGAGGTCACTGGTGAGCAGGGCACAGGGATGCCACAAAGACTGTCACAGCCATATCTGCACTGCTTGTGGATGGGAGGGAGTTACATGAGAATTCTGTTTTGGCAGCAAGGCAGACTTTAAAAAGCACCATCCTTGCTTACCTTCACCTAGTTATTAATGTCTCTTGGCATGTTTTTCCAGAAGGTTATTTTTAGCCTGGATTTCTTCCCCAAACTGTGCCACACAGTGAAATAATAAACACTTAAACCAATGCTGAACCCAAACACAAGAAAGGAACAAATATTCACCTTTCTAACTAGCCCCATTAAAAAAAAATACAAAAAAAGAAACAACTTACCTGTACTACACCTCACTACCACAGTTCAGGCAGAAGCTTAAATAGATGCATTGAAGTCAGTAGACCTTAAAGTTCAGCTTTCATTATAAGGGAGTTTGCCTTTTTTATTTCTTTTTAAATCCCAAACCAATAGCTGTATTCATCTCTAAACCTCTGATAAATCAAGTGCACAAATAAAAGAAAATGCCAACATTTTATCAACAATTAAAGCAAGCAAATTTTGTAGAGAGCAGTAATTCTGTTTTTATGAGATCAGCTGGCACAAGTTATTAGAAAACAAAAAAGCCTTTTCAACAAGTTCCTCATCAGTTGGCTTAAATTTTTATTAACAGCTCTATTCCTGTTTACAGGTACAGGATGAGAAATGAAGGAAGAAAAATAATATTTTGAATACAGTCTTCTGTAATAAGAAAAACATTTTCAAGCTCCAAAATCAATTCTTCTTTGGTAATGTAAATAAGAAAACGACACATAAAACATTAAATGATTCTTAGAAAGTTAGATATCATCTGTTTAGTCAATTGATCATTACTGTAAGTACGCTATTGCATGTATTAGACTGGCATATATTCTGGTCTTACCACCTATTACCATCTGAAATCCATACCAAGTATGTGATCCTTCAGTTTCACTCTGGATGTATCTCAGGTTATTTTGTTTCTGCAATTCCTATTTGTTTGAGAAAGTATTGTAGTATTATGCAAGACATCAACAAGATACCACCTGGAATAATACGCACTTTAAAACAGAAGAGGATAGCTGGAAAGTGGAATGGAGAGTCTAGCTCACAAGGAATTAATTTAATCTGAATTAGAATTTGAATTGAATGCAGAAAGAACAGCCCACCTCACTTAACCACACTGAAACACTAACACATACTTCCAGGGAGTAATCTCAGAAGAGGAAAACAAATTACACTGGCACAAAGTATGTCATACACAAGAGAACATGTTCAATACATTCCTAAAGGTACAAACTAGGCAGAACAAAAGCGTGTAAATTAGAAAACACAGAAGAAATGTGTAATCATCTAAGAATTAGGGCTCTAAAACCTCCTCTCCTCCCCGGAGAAACATGAAGAAACCTCCTAACAAGCTTTGAGACAGAATTTTGCTAGCTTGTGAAAAGGGGATGATTATCATAGTTGCCTGTGAAAGCAGAATGGTTCCAGCAAATCCACAAAGTTCACACAGGAAATGAAATCGCAAAATAGCATCTGTGCTAGCAGCAGCAACGGGCACACAAAGAATCATTTTTAGCTTCCAGGGTACTTCAAATTCTGGACATTTTCATACCATGATCTCTACCTCAAGTGTTTTCCACTCTACTCCTGTTGACCTCTCATTTCACTGAACCCTACATTAAGGCATTTCAGCCTGATAACCCTGCATTGTTCTGCTGCCTGTATTTTTTTCTGTGCTCTTGCACATGAAGAAGAGCTAACAGCATCCAAGCCAGTGCAAGGGCAGATTAAAAAGCTGTCCAGGATTGGTTCTGCTGGGTGCAATGAATGTGGAAACTAGGGCAAGGTGTGCCACAGGAGCAAAAGGCTGGGTGAATGGACTGCTACATCAGCTCATGTCGTCCTTGGAGTCACAGCCTAAGCAAGTCTCTTGAATTTTTCTGAAACATTTTTATGGGAAGTCATAGAGAAACAATTCACCACTGTACATGTAGCGGTAGATAAGAAGAATGCGATTGCATACAAAAGTCTGTTTAGAGTGCTTCAACACAGAAACAAGTCCAGTTTTTTATATAGTCTGTAGCAAAATAAAAAAAATATTGTTTACACCAAATTCCCAGACATATTACATTCCTCTTAAAAATAAATAGAAAAAAAATCACAAAAGATCAAATTCTCCTCCTTGCCAAACCCACATGCTCACACACTGAAGTAAGTATGCCTCAAACACTGCGAACTACTCCTTTCTCTCAGCTGCCAAGCAACACTTTGCTAGGAGTGCACCAATGTTTTGCAAAGCACCACGTGTATACAGAAGAGACATTCAAACTCAGACTGCATTAAAAAGTCCCCATGGAAGTTGAAGATAACAGAGTGTTCACACATTCAAGCTGACGGTTTTCAGCATTTCCTGCCAATGAGCCCAGCAGTTCAATACCCAGCCTTTCTGTTCCAGCAGTTATTTGCCATGACGTGTCCACATAAGCAAGGGCAGATCACAGGTACCTTTCCACAGAGCTCAGCACTGATCACACAAACAGCACAGCAATTCACCCAGTCCTTCTCGCCCAGCTGAGGACAAGGAGGTTATCAGTCTGGAATATATGATCAGGCCTTTCTCAAGCAGGCTATTAGCAAGAAACACTATGGGAAACTTATGTTTCCACTCCACTGTTGCTGTCATTGAACTCCACCCATCCCTGATATGTGTTTATACAGGTGAATTGCCAAAGAAAGAAAACCTTCCTCTGCACCTGAGCCCCACGGTTTAATTCTTCATTTACTCAGGTTCATAAAAACTGATAAAATGCCAAAAGGAATTTCCTCAGAGTTGAGCAAACAAGCTACAATAAAAACATGACAAAGAGGTAGCAAACAAGGCAATGGAAGTTAATTATTACCAATGTAAAGTGTGTTATTTCTCTTTCACAATACAGGTTTGACTGCCTGCACATGCTGCCAGGCGAGCTTAAAGAACCAGACAGGGCTGCAAGGAAATGGCCCAGCAGGAAGGAATCCAGGAGGCATCCACAAGATCTTAAGCCTCTCAAATCCTTTGTTTCAGCTCAAGGACCAATCTGAACAAGGGTGGGTACAAACATACGTGCCACTTTCCGCTTCTTTCCCATCAGGTAACGGAGAAGTGGGCAGGCCAGTAGAGAGGAAGCAGCTTCTGGTGTTAGACAATGAACCACAGCCTGAAGGACAGGAGCAGTAGGTGGTGGCAGTGAAGAAGATCACCAGTTTTGACACTTCCACTGGGTTCCTGCCAAGGTGTTCCACTTTATTCCAGAGAAGAATAAACCCAAGGGGCAGCTGATAGAGACCCTCCTTGGGCATGACAGAACAGGGCCACCCACGTGCAGGCAGGCCAGGTGTCACAGTGCTGCACAGGCCTACAGCTCTCACGTCACAGGGCTGCCACAGCCACAGGTCAGCCACCCCATCGCATCCCTTGGCCATCTCCTGGTGCCTCTGATCTTTATCCACATGGACTCTCTAGGTCAAACACCCTGAAGAGTGTACTTGTTTTCCTATTTCCACATCACACACTCTGGCTCACCATCTCTCTAACATCATTTTTCCAACCACTACCTGCAGAGTTGATTCCCAAACCACGGTCTGGAAACTGTTGGCTTTGGCAGCAAGCACCAGGAACCACAATTAAGAGAAAACGCTAAATTTGTTTCTTATGCACAGCCTGCAATAAAGTCTGAGAGTTCACAGTGTTCTTGTGGTAAAAACCACCGCTTTTGGTATTATTTAATACACATTAAAACAATCACAGGAAGTGATAAGTTGCCTGCACACAAAGTTTGTGGTTAATCTTTGAACATCAGCCATAACACCATCTTAAAGTCTGCCTCACTGCAATATAGATTTCTTTACGTGCTTTATTGAAATTATATTGCCTATATTGCCTATTAACTAAATTACTACTGTACTCATCAGCCCAACTGGTGAACAATCAGACATCATGTGCAAACTAAATGTTCTCCAATTTATTATTTCCTAGCTGGAATTATACCTGATGGTCTAAAGGAGAGACTGCAATAAAGCAAGTAGTAAATCTCCAGCAGATATTTCCAGTTAACTTAAATGCAGGGGTGAAAGTACTACATGCTGTATAAACGTCTGTATACCAGAAGGTACCAGAAAAAGGAGTCCATAGCTCAAACCAAGAAGTTCGTTCACAAGTGACAATTTCTTTGTAATCTGAGAATGGGAGGAAGAAATCCAGCACTTAAGACACATTCATATACTTTTACTTTTATTTCCATAGAAGGATATTTTCATTTGGCTGCATTCTTACTGAGTTTGCCTAAATTGATCAGCCCGCTGTGATCAAAAGGAGCAACACCTTGCTTCCCCTGTCGTTTGTATTACCTGGTCCTCCTTTGTGTCAGCATTCAGGTAGATACGTTGATGGAAAATAACACAGTGTCATTGTGTTTAAGTTTTTAACAAATGCAGAAAGAGATGGGAGGCTCAAAGGCACAACAAAGAGCCCAGGACTGAAATATCAGGGGGTTTTACATCCATAAGCTCAGACACACCATCACAATTCAGATGGAAAAGCCTGCTTTGTGAGCACCACATTCACAGTACAAAACGCCATACAAAGTGCTCGCCAGTGATAACACTATCCTTCTTTTCTTCGTTAAAACAACCTAGGTATATAGGAAAGTAAATGAAATAGAACGCTATCAAGAAGTCATGATTCATATCAAATGGATTCCTGAGGACTCGTATAATCATTAGGATTACTGCTTTTTTGTTAACTGTTTTCTTTGTTATCTCCTCAAAAATCTGCTGCAAACACAGGGAGAAAAAAATGCATACAACACTGACTGATAATATCAGTTTATTTATAGCTCAATGTTTAGATGATGTGTGAGGCTGGACTAGATGATCACAAGGACCTCCCTTCTAATCTAAACAAGTATGTGAGAAGATTTTAAAATAAGTTGTCTAATGTGAATTCCTCTGCTAGTATGTAAAAATGTTCCATTCAGCTTGCAGTAAACAATCTACAAAAGGAAATCTAAATTTGAAATGTGTTTGTTTTCAGTTTTAAAAAGAAGCAAGGCAGCAGGTTTTAATTTCTAATGCATCATCTAAGTTCCAGTGCACACTAAAGACAGTGCAGATGATTTTGAAGTCAAACAATAACAGACATATATCAAACTTTGACATGTAGAGCAGAGACAAATTCTGGTTTTCCTGACTAATATTTCTTCATGACCCTTATGACCATAGCAACTGGATAACCAAGGCCATTGACTACCTTATCTGCAATCTTGCTTCTAGCCATGACCAATGCCCAAAACTTCACAGAAAGGACAGAAAGTTTGCAGTGA